GGTCCTGTGACCTTCTTTGTGGACCTTCCCCATCTCTTTCCATGTTCCAGTCCATCTTCACCTTAGGAGTAGCTGCAGGGGGTCTGTGCACCATGTATTTCAACGACCGCCTGGGGCGCAAGCTGAGCATCATGTTCTCCGCCGTCCCTTCCGTCATCGGATACTTCTTCATGGCCAGTGCCTATGAGATCGGGATGTGTTTGGTCGGGGGGCGCCCAACGGGCTTGGCAGGCGGGGTGACGTCGGCCGCCATTCCAGTAAGTATGACCCCCCCCCCCCCCAGGGTCCTTCTGTCGGAGTCCTTGAGCTCCGGATGGCTGCTGTTCCTTCCTTGGCAACTTTGGAGGGAAGTCTTAGGGATTATTCCAGAGCTGCTAGTCCTGAGTTCTTCTGATTACCTGTAACCATTCTCTCTCTCTTTTCTTTTCTTTTCTTTTCTTTCTCTCCCTCTTTTCTTTCATTCTCTCTTTCTCTCTCTCTCTTTTCTTTTCTCTCTCCCTCTTTTCTTTCATTCTCTCTTTCTTTCTTTCTTTCTCTCTCTCTCTCTTTCTTTCTCTCTCTCTCTTTCTCTTTCTCTCTTCCCTCCCTCCCTCCCTCCCTCCCTCCCTTCATTGATCTCTCCTTCCTTCCTTCCTTGCTTTCCCTGAGCATGTTTCTTTATCCTTCTGTTAATATTGGCGTTTCCCTACCTGATTGCAGAAATGCAGTGTGTAGCTTCAGAAGCTCCAGTGTTGTGAGCTGTGGCTCAAACATGCCTTTGCTCCCCACAGCAGACCATCTGACACCAGCAAGGAAGAGAACTTTCCCCCAGGGCAAAGGCAGGGTGCTAAGCAGTTTGACCAGCTTTAGCTTACTTGGGGTAACAAACAAATGAAAACGTTGGCACTAAGATCAACATTGGAGTCCAGACTCGGTGGTCTTGATAGCCACCCCACCGAAATTAGCAGGACTACCATTAGCCCGGGGTAATTTCAGTTAGACCTCAGTTTTAGCCCAGGCTAATTTAATTTAATTTGCAGTAAGTTAACGCTAAGAGCCTGGTTTACCCTTTATATGAGCCATAACATGGTTTGGTCCCAAGCTCATATGCATGAAACCCGTCATGATGCTTTAGAAAGCACAAGCGATGGCTTAAGTGCAACCTGTGAACCCAGTTTCTGGACCCAACTCTTTCTCCTACTCCAAATGGCCTTGAGAGCCTTTTGATTGTGGAAACACGTTGCATTTAAACATGGATGAATAAATCCAAGCAGAATTGATGGAATCTACGGGATAGGCTAGCTTCTTTCCATGGTTAACTCCCCTCATCCCCTCCAGCACGCTCTCAGTGCCTTGAATCCCAACTTACCTGTTATTTTTTTGCCTCGTCCAGGTCTATATTTCCGAGATCTCCCACCCAGGAATCCGAGGGGCGTTGGGCTCCTGTCCTCAGATCATGGCTGTTTTGGGCGCCCTCTTCCTTTACGCTTTGGGCAAGTACTAAACCATCCTTTCCAGCCGTTTCAAACTGTGGGTTTATTTGGCTTTGTGGCTGTTGGCTCGTTCGGTAGAGTTGGAGCTTGGAAAGGTGTGCCTGGTTCCAAAAGGATGAGGGTGTGCATTCCCCCTTCCTCACCACCCTCCTTCCTGCATCGTCTTTCTCGGTCCTTCTTTGAGCTCCACAGAAGAAGGAATTTGGGGATTAGAGCTGTTGGTTTTCTTGTTTGGTGTGTGTGCGATTCTGACCTTTTTGTCAATTGGAAAAATACAGAATATTTCACAACCGTGTAGTCCTTATCTGATCTACTTAATGCTTTGTGATTCACCTCTTCGGGCAGTTTGGATTGACCCCGCTGTCATACTCAAAACGGAGAGCTGTAACACACACGCTCACGCACCAGTGCACACACATCCCCCCAAATCCTTGCTAAAATGGAGACTATGGTGAAAACCTTGTACTCTTAGCCTCAAAATTGGGATAATTCAAGCAGCCTTTGGGCTTTAAGACAGTGTTTCTTAGCCCTGGCAATTGCTAGAGGTCTGGATGTCACCTCCCAGAATTCCCCAGCCGGCGTAGCCGATGCTGAGAATTCTGGGAATTGGACTTCGCACCTCTGGAAGTTGCCCAGCTTGAGATGCATTGCTCTAGGGGCACTGTGGGCAACTGGAAATTGCCTCATTTGGGGGAAATTCAAATGACGGTTACTCCGGGTAAATGCAGGAGAATGATTTTAAAAGATGACCCAGGGTATTTCTTAATGAAGTAACCTTTAGGTATGTGATATTCAGTATCTACATGCAAACAAGAAAAGCAGCTACGAATCAGCCACCCACATTTCCGCCTAGGGGATTGTGGGAACCGAATCTGTGTGGCTGGTTTAATGTTTGGGCTATTCTGAAAACCCAGAACATCTGTTAATTGCATAAATGCTGCTTAAATGAACCACGGTTAACCCTGCGATGCCTCCACATTAGAAGCTCACATTCACCCCCAGCTGATCAGGAGCGTCTGTATAAAAGCAAATTGAGCAAGTTGTTTTTTGCCCCAGTCATGAAGACAGAGCAATAAGGAAGAACGGTTGGTTCTTTCTGCTCCTTGGACAGTTAAAGATGCAGATGATTGAAGAAGGAGATGCTGTCTGGGCTACGCTTAGCCCATTCTATAGCTGAGTTCATCCAACAGATGTAACCTAGTCATTTATCCCTTTATTTATTTATTTATTTCAATTTATGTGGCCACCCATCTCATCATAGCGACTGTGGATGGCGAATAACAGTTAAAACCCAACATAATATACCCCATGCATGCATCATTGGCATCACAGCAATAAATGCGTAACAATCTCAGTGATAACTGAGATCAAACCACACTGAACTAACCCAGTTTCTGGAGTTGCTCAGGGCCTAAACTAAGCAAATTGGCTGGGTCTGAAGAGCACACCAGCACGCGTGCGTGCACAGAGAACCCTAACCCAGGCTAAAACTAATCAAGCACCGACATACAGAGTCCAGTGGAGTTGGGTGACCTATACATTTAAATAAATAAATTAAATAATGCAGTATTGCAGCGCAAAGGCGGCTAGGAGGTCTTTCCCTGACCTTATTAAGCAATATTGCACAACCTTGATCTTTCTTTGGCAATGGTTTGGAAACCTGCGGGATGACATTCATAGAAGAATTCCGAGCAACATGCAATTCTGCTGTAGCGCAAGTGCCCCAGGCAGAAAAACAGAAAAGGGGTTATGATCCACTTCTTGGCTAATGCAAAACAGGAAGGAAAAAAGGAAGGAAGGGAGGGAGGGAGGGAGGGAG